GGGGTTAAAAACTTTAAAATTAATAAGGTAAGGGACTAAATATAAATTTTAGCTGAAGAATCAAAGGTTAAGTTAGAGGATTTTTTTGGGGTTTAAAGTCTTCCTTGGTATAGTAGTTTGAAAGTAATACTTAACAGTTTTATCTAAACTACTAAAAATTAGTATTTGATAAATTTATTTATTTTTAAATTACTACAAATTATGTTTTAATTTGGTAAAAAATTTTATTTAATAGTTTAAAATTAGTGGATAATGGTTAGATTCGAAACTGTCAATGGATTAAAAAAACTACTTTATGAAGTTTTTTTATTAAACAACTAACAAATTAAAATTTTTTAATTTTATTAACAAATTTATGTTTTTTAATTTTTTAATTTTTGGCCACAATTTTTAATTAGTACTTATCTAATTAGTTCAACTTTGTTTTTTTCTCTTTAATAACATTAAATGACTATTATATTTTATTTTTTACATTAATTTATCATAAAAATTATATTAACATAATAAATAAAATTTGCTACTTAGATGAAATGATTAAAAATTTGTTTTATTCTTTATTTAAAAATAATATAATTTTTTCTTTATTAAAAGTAGAAATAAGTGTGTGATTACACTATTATAATTTATTTTATTTATTTATTATATTATTATTTTTATAAAATTATGAATTTTAATAATAAAAAGTATAAAAAAAATACATTTAATTACTTTAAATATGTCTTTATTAGTTATGTAAAGTTAAACAACAATTGCTAATTATTATATAACTAATAAGTTATATTAATTGAAATCTGCTATGTATTATTTACCACTTGCTATTTGCTAACTGTTATCCACTACCTACTATCCATTGAATTTTAATTGTTATACCAAACAAGCCAATTGATCTCTTGCATTATTAGTAAAGCTAACGCGTAGGATTTTGAACTTAAAATTACGACATGATATTAAATAAATGTAACGCACTATTAAACAAGTAGAGATATATAATATATTACATGTGCCTCTTGAATGAAAAGAGTTATCCATCATTTAAGCATATATCATGTACTGTAAACTTACAATATCTTAAAAAAGTATATAAAAAATTAATTAAAATAAGATATGAATTCGACGGAAGTCAATATGATTTTGCAATTAATATGTTAGGAATAATAATAAAAAGATGAAAATACCCTTAATAAATCAATACACATAAAAAATTCATTAAAGGTTTATAAAAAAAAATCATTAAAAGTATTTCAACAATTCACAAGAAATTTTGATGGCATTTCGATTTTTATATATTGTGCGAAAATTATACAAACGAAGCATTCAATCACTTTGATGCTTACTTTGAAAAAAAAAAAAAAAAAAGAAGAAAATTTATGCTTGAATTATTGCTTCCAGATCTTCCCTTCTATTTTATTTCCCTGCGCCGTGAGTCTACAAGGCATCAAAACTAAAGTAAAAATACCGTGATTTTCTCAATCCTTAACCGTTTACCTCCCATACATGAGGAAAAATTTATTCAAGCAATAATAAGATTGTAAAGAATTTCATTCCAAGTATCAGGAACTCCTGGAAGACACCAGTGAAGGCAATCCACCCCACCCGTTGCTCCATTGGGATTAAACTTTGAAGGGTGCCCGTCTTTGCGGAACAGCGACAGGTTTGTTGTATCAAAAAATTTTATAACATCGCTTAATGACTCTATCGCTCCCTTTTGCACCGCCAATTCTGGTGGTATACCTCCAGGATATTTTGTCCCCAGCACCGGTTCTGTCTGCCCTATACATCTGTCTGCTTTTGTCTCGTTCCACATGCTGCCACTGCAATGTCCAAATCCAATTTCTTGGTAAAATTACGGTTTTTCTTTTCATATATTAACAAAATAAATTAGATAAGTACATTTTCTTATTGAAGTGTAGAAAGAAAAAGGGTTTGATCAAAAGTTATTTGACAATGCTATAGTTATAATATTACAAAAAATTGTAAGTTTACAATTATAATATAATATTAAATGAGTATGATATGATATTAAATAAGTAGATGCATACAATATTACAAATGAACTTTTGAACTAAAAAATCGATAATATAAAAACACATCATGCTATAGACAATAAATCTCATCACAATAGTTATATGACACTAAATAAGAATCTATTTAGTATGATTTTGGTTTATGGTTTTTGATTTTTGCTTTATAAATTTTGCAATTCTAGTGCAACATTTGTTTATTTTCATGTATTTTTACAATATATTATCATGATTATTAGAGAAATCAGAACGAAAATAGCTTTAATCTTATTAAACAAATTAATATATAATTTTTTATTATTAGTGTTAAAATTCAACTTAAACGACTTATTAATTTTTGGGTTTTAGTTTTGGTTTTAAGGTTTTAAACTATTACAAAATTTATGAACACCAAAACCAAAAGTCAAAAATCAAAAACTCTAATCATACTAAATGGAAATAATTTATTTATACAACTTTTATTTATAATTTCAACACATTATTAGATATAAAGGTAGATATATAATATCACAAATTCTCACTAGAGTAAAAAGAACAAATAATTAAATAACATATAAGAATGCATAAAAAAGTTATATGCAAAAGTTGTTCCAAAATTATTTTCTTAAAAACTATTTCCCTCAAGTTGTGAGGATTTATTATCAATAAATGTTGTCAACTAATGATTTATGTTTATCAATTATAAATCTCAAACAAGTGATGAGAAAAGGAGCAAATAAGAATATAAATTTTACTATTTTTTCTATTTAAAGGTGTGAAATTTATTGATTTCTAAATACCATAGTTAACTTCTTCTTTTTTTTTTTTTTTAATTTAAGGATGTTAATTTTATGTTTATTTCTATGTAAGAATTAATTGGATGGATAAACAAGTCATTTGACACATTAATATCATTATCAAATTAATCCTTAAATAGAAATAACACAAAATTGACATTTTTAAATAAAAAAATTGAGAATTTACCACCTTATTTGGATACCAATAAAGTTTGCATCTTTAAATAAAGAGAATGATAAAATTTATATTTTTATCTGCACCTTTTCTCACAAGTGGATGTAAAATGATTTAAGGGTGTGTTTGGTATTTGAGGAAGCCAAAAAAAAAAAAAAAAAAAAGACTTAGCTTAGCTTAAGAAATTAAATTTCTTGATATGTAAATCTAAGTATAATATAATTAATTACAAATGAAAGTTAAACGTTTACATTGTAATATAATTAATTACAATGAGGAAATAAATAATTATATCAGATATCATGGATTATTTCCTTCTTTTTTTAAACGATTACATGTAAATGATTATATCACTTTCATTACAAAGAGGATTTCATCGTGTATTTCCTCTTTATAAGCAATTATATCACTTTTCTAAAGTTGCAATGTAATCAATTACCTTCCTCTGTAATAAACTATGTTGTGCCTAAATTTACATGTCTTGAAAGAAAAGGTTTTCTAAGCCAAGTCAAGCCATCTTTTTTACAATGTCCACAATTCACCTTTTTCCAAAAATTGCATACCAAACACACCCTAAGCATCTCACCCGGGCCAATAAACCATAGAAAATACCGTACAAATCAGCCTAAGCCCCCTTCTCCCTTAAAACCCAAAACATATGAGGTAAAGTGTTGTTTATAGTTGTCTATTAATTTGTTAAAATTACATCATATTATTTAATAGATATTGATTTTATTTGATTTTTTTTTTTTTTTGGACATAGAGAATTATGGAGAGATAAAAAAATTTTAAGTCGTTGATGGAAGTAGAACTTTTGACCAACTAAACTCAAACACTTGGGTTTATCATTGGACTCAAAAGGACGATTTGATTTTATTTAATTTAATTACTAAGAATAATTAATAATTAATAAAGCAATTAATATTTATTATTCAATAAATTAAAATTAACTTATAGAGTAATATTTTCAGATATTATAACTAATTATTTAAGAAAAAATTATAAATATCAATCAAATTGAACACTATTTGTATAGCTTTAATAAAGTTTTGGGTAGCTGTAACTGCACCCAAAAGGTACCATACCAAAACTAGAAGAAAGCTATACGAAGATCTACACAAAAATATGTCTAAAACCTAAAATGGTTATAAACTTACTTGTAATGAGTCGGAGAAAGTCCCTGGAAAAATACAGTTGTGTTTTGGGGATTAATGTTGGCCCTGACCCAACCTGCCCATGTCCTGAGTGCAATATTTAGAGCAACAATGTGGTCCAAATCCTTTACGTAATTACCTCTAAATTCGATGTAATCCCATCTGAAAATTCACAAAATAATTTCAATAATTTAGGGAAAAAAACAATTAGCTAATTCCCAAATCCTACCGAGGGTATGTAAATTGTACGATTTTGGGAGGGTGCACATAATCTCCTAGCAGAATGTCTACACTGGTTGTACCGGTTTGATTTTTGTTTGGTTTGATGTTTCTCCTCGTGTACATTTTGAAATTTGAAAGTGTTACATACGCCTACTTAAAACTATAAGAAAGTTATGTGGAAGTTTCTATTAATTGAATCAACATACGTCTTTCGATTCCACCAATGGAATGTGTTGAAAACGAGCACATCAATCCCTAGCCATAGCTTGCCTCCTTGAATGGAATCAAGTCTCAAAACATGACCAACTTTTTCTTGCACAAGATCTACTAGGTACACGTTTTGATTACGCATCACCTTAATCCCGTACTCCTACAAAATTTCATAAAATAAAAAAAAAAACAAAAAAAAAACGTGGTGAGCTCTTGTATTTTCATAAATTATTCTATATTTTATATTGCATAGAATTACAAAACATGAAGTATTAGATGAAGTATTAGATGAGGAGAGTGCCCAAAATCATGGAACTATTTCTGTTTAATAACGGTTTCAAATATGAAGGTTTCAAATTATACAATTTGATATAGTTTAGACTATACAAATTTTTTTTGTAAATTTTTAAGTTCTTTATTTTATAATTTGTACTGTACTATATTGAAAAATATAAATTATTGAATGAGAATAATAGGGCCCCAATTTCATGGGGCAACCCCTATCTAATAACAGTTTAAATTGTATAATTTAATAAAAATGAGACTGCACAATATTTTTTTTAAAAATTTTATTAGTTAATAATGTTTAAATCTAATAATCTTGGTGTCGAGAAGATGAAAATGAAAATTAGTAGATACCGTGAGCTCAAATATATCGATTTTTCCGTCACTTGTGCTGAGGCTGTAGTTGGTGTTGGGTACCGCAGAATGCAAAATGCATATTAAGGATTCATACTGATCTTTACTTATAGAGTCTCCCACGAACATGATGCTCTTCCCACGAAACTTTTCCAAGAAATTAAGAGCATTAAACCTATAAATTAAAGAAATAATTAACCTTGTCAAATTAAATTTCTTATAAAATTGAGAGCAAATCATTTTA